CTGGGGAAAGCGACTTGGATGTGCTTCTGCTGCCTCCAAACCTCGGGCTGGCCAGGAAGTCCCCAAAAAAGTGGTTCAAAACAGAGACATCTGGAGATGGACACGTCCTGGTTGTGAGCGTGGGTGCACAAAGAGCCTGGCCGAAACCTTTATGCAACCTGCCGACGATTTCCCCATCGCCACCCCAGCGCTGACAGCTGGGGGGGGTCAGACCCCGAAACCTGCCCGCCTGCAGGCCCCGGGAACCCACATGGGCACAGCCCGAACACCTTACTCACAGCCCTCACGTACCAAGCTGGTGACTAAAGCCGGGATCAAAGCGCCCAAATGAAGGAGCATGGTTTACATCCACCCTTTCTTTCCAGGCTGCTTTTAATTACAGCGTGAGCCTCTCCGCCTACGGCTCCCCCGAGCCCCGGCATCCTGCGGTGCCGCAATCCCCACCCGGCAGGTGGATGCCAGGTCCCCACACCACGGCGGGGAGCAATTTTTGGCAGCAGGACGATTTCTGGCAGCAGGATGTCAGGCTGGAAACTTCCCCTGGGGCGACCCGGGGGCTGCTGGATCAGCTGAGCTGCAGATCCTCTCCAGAGCTCCTTTCCTAACGCTTCTGCTCCCCAAATCATACCAGAAAAGTACCACTCAGAAGCTGTATGTGGATGCTTAGCTGGTTGGATTTTTACCTTCTGGCACGTGTCTAAGAGAAGGAAAAACTTGGGCACAGAAAAACATGAGTTTTGCTTCCGATGACATTGCAATGTGAGCACCCTGTGGGGACAGCAGGCTCCCACGTCCCACACGCAGCCTCTCCGAGGGGGACACCTGCACCAATACCTCAAAAAGAACTTCCAGGAAAATTGTGCGGCCTCCAAACTGCCCACGAGCACCAGGCTCACACCAGGCCCAGCATCCCCACCTGCACCAGCGGCACGGGGCAGAAGCGATGGGGCAGCGCTCGGTTTCAGTCTCCTGCTGCCGCAGCATGGTGGGGGCATGAAATCCACCCTGCCACCAGCCTCAACCGCCCAGTGGCCATCCCCGCAGCTATAATTAGACGGAAAAGGCAGATCGATACCCCTGTAACGATGTTGGAAACGTCCTGCTTAGGATGAAGCTTTTGTAGGATGCCTTGCAGCGAGTGAAGACGTGCGAGCGAAGTCGCATCCGTGTGGTGCCACGACGTGCTCGTACGATGTGACTTCTCTCTTGTGGCTTGGGCCAAGGGAAGGAAAAGCCAAAAGGGATGGAAGGAGGTGGAGGGACGTGCTCCTGCCCGGCAGGCGCAGGCTGCCCTTGGGTGCAGGAGGCTGCGCTCACGCTGTGGTGATTTCTCAGCGCTGCCCGGTGGGGCGGTTGAAGGAGACGGGTCCGGCAGGAGCAGGACTCACCGGTTTTCCCGTGTCGCTCCCCAACCCCAACCCCAACCCCAACAATCGCCGCTTCCCACCCAGCGTGGCCGAGCACAACACCCGAAACCAGCACCTGCTCTTCGTGGGGGGAGCTCTCCGGCACCAAACCAGCCCGGGGACCGGGGCAGGGTGGGCGATGTGAGGGGAGAAAGGGGAGAACAACCCCGTGCTGCAGCCCGGTGCCCACCGGGGAGGACGGACAGACGGACGGCGGGTCCCCAAAGCCCGGTGGCCTCCAGTTTTCCCCCCCACACACACCCCCGGCCAGGCCCCTCGTGCAGCGCCGCTGCCCCACGGAGCCCCCACGGAGCCCCCACAGAGCGGGGCTGGTCCCGCAGCGCCCTCACCGCTCCCCTCACAGCCGGCGCCGCGGGGACGGGGACCGGATCCCCGGGATCCCCGATCCTCCCCCCCATACACACACCACAACCCCTTCCGCCTGCCCTTGCCTGGTTTTTGTCGAACTGCTCCCGCTCCGCTTCCAGGCTGTGCCCCGCTCGGCGGCTCAGCACCCGCGCCGGGACGCTCTTGATGCTGTTCATGGCGGGCCCCGCTCCGTGCACCGGGCTCCGCGCACCGCGCACCGGGCACCGAGCGAGCGGCGCCGCCCGCGGCTCCTCCCGGCCGCGCACTGCGCCCGGCCCCACGGCGCCCCTGGCGGCCGCCACCCGCCTCTGCCCGGCCCCACGCGGTCCCAAACGGCCCCACACGGTCCTAAACGGCCCCACACGGTCCCAAACGGCCCCACACGGCCTCACGCAGTCTTACACAGCTCCACGCGGTCCCACACGGCCTCACGCGGCCCCCTCGTCCTCACCTCAGGGTGTTGGAGACTTGTGCCCAAGCTCCTATTTCCTTCATCGAGCCCCTTCACAGAAGAATCACAGAATCACTAGGGTTGGAAAAGGCCTTCAAGATCATCTGGTCTAACTGTCCCCCTACCACCAATGTCACCCACTGAGCCATGTCCCCAAGCACCACGTCCAACCTCTCCTCAAACACCCCCAGGGACAGTGACGCCACCACCTCCCTGGGCAACCCGTCCCAACACCTGCCTGCTCTTTCTGAGAAGAAATGTCTCCTCATTTCCAACCTGAACCTCCCCTGGCGCAACACGAGGCCTTTCCCTTTAGCACTACCACAAGTAACCTGCAACAAGAGCCCACCCCCAGCTCCCCACAACCTCCTTTCAGGTAGTTGCAGAGAGCAATGAGGTCTCCTCTGAGCTTCCTCTCTCCAGACCAAACACCCTCAGTTCCCTCAGCCACTCCTCACAGGGCTTGTGCTCCAGGCCCTTCACCAGCTCTGCAGCCCTTCTTTACCCTTCCCTAAACCCCACCACACATTTCAGGGACTCAATTTCATTGCTGCCCACATCTCGGCCTTCCATTCATAACAACCAAGCAGCACAGGGCTCGTCCACCCCTGTGGAAAGCTGCAGTTGAACAGGAGCTTTGTTTCCTTTAATAATAATTCAGTATGAGAGTACAATAGCAAAGGCGCTCCCTGGAGTATTTGTAACGCTTCCAGAAATAAGGCAGCCAAGTTTGATACAGCTTGAGTTTCAACGCAAGCTCCAGAGTGCAGTAGATAATACAGCTGGTTTGTAAGTCACTTAATGCCTGAATAAGTGTGCCCCAATATTCTGCTTCTTCCCCTTCCGGAACAAGCCCCACACACGCTAGAAAAGCAACTGCAAACCAGGGCATGCGGGTGCTGTGGGAGGGTTGTGTTTTCCACAGGCAGGAACTCAACAGGAAAACACAGCAACAGAAATCTAGGGCAGCCCCAACAAGAAATCCTCTGGCTCTTCTGATCCTTGTTATATCACTTGAGCTCACTTTTCCACTCCAATCTTAATGCCAGCAGCAAAGCATTTTAAATTCACAAGAGGGTTCAGTACAGTTGCCTGCTAACACAACACATTTTAGTCAAAAAGCTCAGCTCATGCTAGGAAGTTGCAGGAATTTCTCATGGGTTTGACTTAACTTGGCCAGTTGGGTGGTGGCAGCTGGACAGCTTCAGGGTGAGCATCGTGCTATTGCTGTCAGTGACTTTTTCTGGGGAATTATTGTCATACCCATAGCATTACATTTTGAGGCTAGAGCCTAGAAATTTTCTCTGCAGGTAGAGGAATCAAATGTGCTTTAAAGGTTTATGGAAAACAGCCTTTGTCTCCTGAAAAAAGAAGCAAGAGACTCCCTCCAATTGTAATGCTTGTAGGCAGAGGAGGGAAAGGTTGCAGGATGGCAGCTGTGACCGGAATTGTTCAACTAATTTTGAGGCCATTAGTACAGGACAGAAAGCAGGCTGTCATTTAGGTAATTAAAGAGAAAGCAGAGAATTATGTGAAAGTTAACAAGGGGAAACCATGGTGCAAGTGTTTTATTTCACTGCAATTAATTTGTAGCAGTGGCTGGGGCCAGAGACACCCCTTGCTCAGCTACCCCCACACAGTGAAAGTGCTGGCACTGTGCACAAGGACGTGGGACTTGGCAGAGGTGCCCCAGGCTGCTTGCAAGCCACACGCGGCTGAGTGGCTACCCTGAGCCTGCCCTGCACTCGTGTTCTGGGCAGTTGGTGTCGCGTGTCCCAGAGAATCATCATAAATTAAGTATGGGATGTGTTGGACAGTGTGTGAAATATGCAAGAAGGATGTAAGAAAAGAATCTCTTTTATTAGCTTATTTGACCTTTTCATTAAAAAAAAGTTCAAACTGAAAATGAAATGTCTTGCTCAGTAGTCAAAGATAAAGAGAGTTTAAATGCTAAAAAGCCAGTCACATTATGGTTAGCCATTGCCATACAGTGCTAAAACAGTCCACGCAAACACCTGATCTTGCTGTAAGCTTTTGTTAGAATAAATAGCTGCTCACTGGGGAAGAGTTGTTTTGCCCACCTTGTGGGTGACAGCTGTCCAATTTCAACAATGTAGGAGGCATTTCCTGGTTACAACACTAATTGGGAACTTCCTATAAACATTATTCATCTCTCTACACGGCAAGTTCCGAACAAAAACAATAAACTAACAAAAATGAATGCTTGGTGTGTCATGCTCTAAAATTATTTCTGAACCACCATAAAAAAGGTATGAAAAATAGTTGCTGTGTGGTAACAATTACACATTGAAGATTCTTAGAAAAACAAGCCAGTATTTAACCTGACCTCATTGCTATAAAAAATAGTTTTGTTTACCTTGGCATCATTCTATGTTTTATTTCAAGTAGAAATGTATTCCAGCGTAGTCACATCTTTTGCTACTTGTGAGTCTTTCAAACACTCATAGAACTATCAAAAAAAAAGTTAGGTAACTTTCCATTGTAGCTGATGGGCTGCTGATCTTCAGTTCTCAAAAATAATTCTATAATGGAAATGTCTTCATCCACTGCAGAAAGTTAAAGATTTGTATTAAAAGACAGAAGGCTTTTATTTCCTCTGAAATATATTAAGCAATCACATATACGTCAATTTACTATATACATTTTCATACTGAAGACAGACCAAAAAATACAATAAAAATATAAAGAGGAGACAGATTTGTAAATGAAGTGCTTCACAGAAGGACAACAGTCTCAGGGATACCACTCGCGTGTTATGAAATAAAATGTTTTAATTTCGTTTTGCAAAAAGGAGTGATCTTTGTGCCCTTGGCCTGCCACTGAGTCACAGTTAACAAGAAGTGGCACACAGTACGCTGTCCAAAACCAAACAGATCCTTTTTTTCCCAGTGCTTTCCTCCTTTGTGTGGCTCTTCAGCTCTCCCCAGCTCAGTTTCTCTCTGAAGAGAAAATGACTGACTGGTAAAAATGGCTAAACCACTGTCAGCAGGAAATTAACCTAATGTTTAGCACTGCACCTGCCATCAAGTGACTTGAAAGCAATCAACAAAAAAGAAATTCCATCACTTTTCAATACGAAATTGCATGAACACGTTAGTTACTTCTGAACCTGCAAAAGCTGCTTTGTTTTTAACTCATCACAGTTGATTCAATGCCTTTTATTAAGAGAAAAAAAATTAAGATTTATTCAGCAGCCAGTGACTTGCAGAGTCACTAAACCTGGTCATGGATTTACAGTGAATTGTGGGTACGTTTGTTCCATCAGTTCTTTCTCACTTGAAGCAAATGAGATTATTTCTGTAGGCTAAGCATGTGCTTACCACTTTGCTGCATCAGCACGGTGCTCAGCAATTTTGGGGATTTGCTCCTGAAACTTTTTAACATCAGTGGTTTCAGGATGCAAGTCACAGCGCTGGTTTCGATCTACAAACCCTCCTGCTTCTTTTAGCTTGGGGCTTATCTTTATAGGAAAAGAAGAGATCTCTGCACAGGAATATTACAGCACAGCGAGGCCGGGCATTCCAGCTACTCAGCATCCATTTCCTCTGAGAGCCCCATTAGCGTGCAGTAAGCAGACCCAACTCACTTTGAGAGAAGACTCAGTGTCTCTGCGCTTAATGCAGAGCATACCTGCCGAAACAGCAGAACGTCAGGGTGCTGTAAACCAACACCACTTCCCAGGGGCATGAAAGGTTCAGCTCCACAGAAGAGACACAGAGTGCAGTTTGAATATACCGAGAAAAGAACTGAGCCCTCCACTGGCCCAAAATTGCATAAGAGCACCCCCACTGTCCCCATGAAGAACCAATACTAGAAAGCCACTGCCACACAGCTTCACACTCCAGCTTACAGAGTAATAATTTCCCTTTGCAGACACGCTCTGGGGTTGTGTCAGCACTGGAAGATTTCCTTTTTTTTTTTTTTCTTTCCCCCATTGTTGCTAGCTGTTACTCAGTTTCATGTGGTTTTCTGTGTTTTAACCATATCTGGTTACCCTTTTGTCCTCAGAACCAGACGACACGGTGCCTCTTGCAAGCATCCAACTCACATTGGTAGAACAAATAATCAGACAGTGAGAAATTTCCTGATTTAGAAAAGGAAGAACAATCTGGTATGGGCAAGGCTGCTTTTTTTTTATATTCAGAAACAGCTCTACTCAATACATTCTACTTTTGGAGATCTGAGCCCTGGAACAATATGCTAAAACAGCCCTTGGCCGTGGCATTGAAAAACACTTCCCAATCTCTTACTCAACAATGTTCATATCCTTGATCCTGTTATCTGTAACACACAGAAGGACTCCAACTACAATAAGCTGTGTGCAGGTACAAGAAAAGCTGCAGGCTCAGGAATGGACCTGCAAGATCTGACAGCCCAGACTTTTTCTGAGCAGGAAGCGTTAGAAACATGCTTGAGAAAAAGTTTAATTATTTGACTAAAGGAATTACTGGCTGCCTTAGTATCTGTTTGCTGCTACAGTACTCACAAGAGTTTTATCGGAAATGCATTCAGAGCAGTGCACTTAGAATCTTGTGCCAGGCCCATCTCAGAAGCCCAGAGACTTGTATTAATATTGCAGATGCATTTATAATGAGAACAAACAAAAATAAATCAAGTGGGGAAAAAAAAAGCATACTCACAAAATATCATAGAGAAAAGAACGGAAGCTTAGCACCTCTTTCTTCTGCACCAGACAACTGCGTTCTGTGAAGAGTCTCTGCAAGTTCTGTTGTCTATATTGTAATGCAAAAACACTACATGGAAATCAAGGAACTTGGACAATAAGAATTACAGAGGTCCCAGATTCAAACTGGCGGGCAGCAATGGTACACTTTTTATTTCCCTCCTCTTCTCCCCCCTCCCCTAAAGAGGGCACAGAATTCATCAGGCACAAATTCTCACTGATTAAATTTTAAGGGTTATTTTTTTACATGCATTGTGTTTTAAAGAGCAGTTTAAAACAGCCTCAGGTAGACCTGGTTTTAAGCAGAGATTAGTTAGCCTGCATAGATTAACCAGAACATGCTTGACAAGTTTTTGCCCAGAACTGCTCCGAAAGTAGATCAAAGTTCTACAGATGTGGTGCAGAAGCTACCCTTGCCAGAAAATATGAGCGTGCTTTATTTTCTACCCGCCGAAGCAACAGCCATTCCAAAGGAGAAGCCAATTCCCAAGCTGAAAAACGCAGTGTCAGGTTGTAAAGCAGCGTCGTGCTCTCGCCTAAAGGATGGCCGGTTCAGCCGAGCTGTGGCATGCCAATCAGAGCAGGAGCCAGACATCTGATGGGGCTGGGCAAGAGCCACAAGCAACTACTGTTCTGCAGAGGGCTTTTCAGGAATCCATCCCACAAGATAGTCTTTGCAAAGGACTACACTGCTGCCGTCTTTCAGGCTGAATGAAATCCTGCAGATGAACTTCTGAACAAAATATCCTTTCAGTTTATGCAAATGCTGGCACACAACCTTTATCCTCTGTCAGCCAGTCCCAGCATAACTAAGGTTTTTTGGTTCTCAATGTTATCAGAATTACTTTTGTTTCTCCGGTACTTACAGTAATATTGTTCTGGTCAAGTTCATCTAAGGCCTCAAGGAGTGCAACATTTTTAGGGAGAGGTAATACTTTCAGAGGAAAAGCACAGCTGAAGTTTCAGCATGCAGCCTTCTCATTAGGAGCCCAAATTCTCCCTTTGTGATCCCTATCAACACTAGTGACAAGTGATACAATCTCCTTTGTTACAAATCTTGTCAAAGCAGAAATTCTTAAGGCTATTTATGAAAACAAACAAGTGCCTCCTTCTCCAATGACTCCTGTAGCTCAGATACTCAGGACAGAAACCTCCTATCAGAGTTCATGTTCATAAAACGCATTGCTGTGACAGCTGTTAGACGGGTTCTTTGCCCCTTCAGTATGCTCTCTGACCCTGCAATGAAAGAACTAAAACTATTAACCCACAAAAATTCAAAGGTTATTTATGCTGAGAGTCAGGCTTATATTCCTACACAAAACCATTCTCTGTATCACCATTTCCTGTACTGTCCTCCTTTCCACAAATATAGCCAGCATAATAAACCAGTTCTGAGTGCAAGTCATACTTGTGCTCGCTTTTTTCTAGACCTCCTACAGCTTGCTCCAAAATGCCTTCTTCCTTCCATCTGCTTAGACACATGCAAAAGTCAAATCCTGTCATGACCTTAAGGAGCCACAAAAAATCCTATAAAAAAATCCAAGCATTTTATGCAAAGAAATGCAGGGGTTTGCTCTGCAGCAAAGCATGAGGAGGATATTGCTTATAATGTTGTCACACAGGTCAAGCACAGTGTTCACAGTGACTCTTCCCAGTCACCTAAATCTAGTCACAGAAGAGCAACAAATACCGTATTAATGCTGCTGCTGTTTGGACTGCAGTGAGGGCTCATGTGGAGGAGAGTGCTAAGCTCCAGATCAGCAACCATCTGTTGAGACTCAGCCAATGCACGCTGCAGCTTACTTGTGGGGTAACAGGCATCCTGGAGGAGACAGAAAGCGAGCCGCAGTTATGAAATCATCTTTCTAGAATAGATGAGAGAGTTATAACAGCAAGAATCATCACTCCCATTAAAAAATGTCTCAGTTCAAAATCAGTCATAATTCCTCATAAAATTAATAAAACACATTCTGCAATAAAGTACTGACTTTGTTGACGGTAGGATTGCAGCATCTATTTTTTGGCTCAATCACTGAAAGGTTACCGATGTCCAAGGAGGAGTTTGCATCAGAGAACTTCTCACATCTTTGAGGTCTGTCTCCTTTCTGGGTGGACGTCAAACAACGGGGAGAATCCGAGTGAAAAGAATTCAGATCCACATTTTCTTCACTGTTAAAAAAAAATAGAAAAATAAGATATTGCCAGAAACAGCATCACAATTCTTTTTAAATTTGCAAAGAGAAATAAATAAATATTTATGGGCCCCGACCCAAGAAAACCAAACATGTGAGACCACTCTGTTTCTCAGAGCTGTTCCATGTTTGACATCTTCACTAGATGAGCTTCAGTCTCTGAGGACAAGGGTTTGACATTCAACCAATTTCAAGAAGATATTGCCGTGTGCTAGGATATGTATTTAATATCCCAAAGAGCATACAAAAGGCAGTATCTACTTCCTCCCACTACTCCGGTGGTGTTCCTTCTCTCATAAACTATTCCTTTTTTCTTCTTCTTTTTTTGAAATCACCACTTAGGCAAATTAATATTTGTAGGTGAACTTTTTCAAGAGAATCTCAGACGTTTAACACCACTATCTCACTTTGGAGATCACAGGAGAGCTTTCCCAAAGAGGCTTTCTTATATTTATTTACAAATACAGGAGGAAACAGTACATTTAAAGTTCATTTTGGGTAAACCGCGATTAAACCCCAAATTCAGTTGCATGACCATGATTTCAGAGTGGAGTTGATGCACACAAGCTATTGGCATGAGTCTTCCCCTAGGTTTTAAAGCAAAAAAAAATATTAATTTAGCACTGGGTGTATCTGAGTATATTTAGGACTATCTGAAAAGCAATTTAAATGTCAATTAAAGCAACAAGTCAGGCCCAGAACATTATTATTGTCAAAACACTGACTTACAAATACCACCAGCTTGCCCTGATAGGGTCTGTAACCCTTAATATGCATGTATAAGGATTGAAACTTTCTCACAACTTTCCCCTACAAAAAGATAACTTTATTGAAGTCTACCCTTCAAAAAAAAAAAACAGTTCTCAATTTCAGTGGCTTAAATCAGAATTTTATCATAACATCCCACATCCCTCTGCCAGCTCCAGCAACAACTGATCACAAATCAAGCCTAGAACTAACAAAGGCTGCAGCGCATTAGGAATTGTTTTGGCTCATCTGCTCCAGCAGTACGGGAACCCAGCAGCAGCCCAAATATACGTAAGAAATCTTTCCCTGAAATCACCTGGCCCCCAGACTGAATGCAGTCTGCAGCGTGTTCAAAGACGTGCCCTGGATTCTTCTAGCAGGTTTGAGCTCTGCAGCGCATTTCATCTTCAGCTGCTATTTCCACTTCATAAAGCTTTCAAAAAGTAAATAAAATGGCAACCATCTCCCCAAATAAAACATCTCCATATTCCTCACTCTTCTGAACAAAACATGACTGCTAGCACTGCCTGCATCAGTTACTTAAATACACATCCATTAAATAAAAGACTTTTCAAATTCCCGATGTTTGGTTAAGTATTCTTTAGATACTTGTTTCGGTGGCGCAATCCATTCCATACCTGGCAAGGCTGCCTCAAAAAGGTTTATTTTTCAGTGCCACTCAATCTAAGAAAAAGCCCTTGTGAGAGGTGCCAGCTGAGAACCGTATGCTGTGTCTCATTCCACTTCTCTTGTAAAACACAGGGGTACAATAGGCTCTTAAAAAAGAGGAGCTCGTGTTTGTGAGCTTCTGACAAGAGCAGGCTCTGGAGAGCTGTGACAAAACAAGCTGCAGCAGCCTCGCAGCAGGACACAGAGGTAAGGCAATGAGCACAGCCAGGTCTGAAGGACTGCACAGGCTGCGAGGGAACGGGGAGAAACGGGTTGGATTTTGAGGCAGGGAGCTGGCTGAAGGCACGGGTGGCTTATTCCTGCGGGGGCACACCGAACAAGTAACTGCTGTCTTTAAAAACAGAACTGAAATAAACATCCCAAGCCAGTAAATGTTGGTCCAACGTAAATGGAGTCACTTAAGCCAGAGCACACAGAAAGGATTCCTGCCTTACAGCTCTTCACGATCTCTCCTGCAGCTGGCTATGGTATTTGGCAGAGTTAATAGGCTGCTTGTTGGCTTGTCCAGAATTCAAGAACTCATGTCAAAAATATTTGCTGGGCTGACAGGGAGGTGCCAGCACCCTTCCGTACACACAGAATACATCATCAGCACTATGAGGCCAGCAATGGGAAACTGGAGGATCCAGATTCAAGTCCTAGGAGGAATGTTGTGTTAAGGCATTAATGGCAGTAGCCAAACAAGATGCCCATGCTGAGGACTGCAATACCACAGCCTCCCTCCCATTTACAGGGTGAGAATGTATTTGGTGGCGAATCAGAATCAGCAATGGTTGGAGAACAGGCATTGGAGTCAATCTATCTCCAGTCTCTCCTAGCATAGCTCCTAGGATCAAAACTTGATAGCTCAGCGAACTCCAAACGGCTGGAGCAGCCCTCCTGTACTGACAGATATCCATTCTGCCTGCATTGCCTGGGTTGAATTTTTCCTTCTCCCCTAAAATCCCCTTAAGGATGAGTCAAAAAACGAAAGCAGTTTGAGTGACTCAGCCTCAGAAGAGATTTGTAGGGGTGACAATGTGTCATTTGTGCTGCTGGACAGAGTAAATACAGAGAGGTGAGGGTAGACGTAAGGGCAAGTCTTGTTTTATGACTTGTGGACAGTGGAAAATGAAGACAGTCAATAACACAACAAGAAGCTCAGCTAAGCTGCATGGAAATGTGCCAGGACAGCACTATTTTTTCCAGCAGCTGCTCATTCACCTTGTTTCTGAAGAAGTCTGTCTCATTGCAGTAATGATTTCTATGGTATTTTTGTTTTAAAAGCAATATAGAATAAAAGCATTGGTACAATCAGATACTTCCCTTCCATAACATTAAATTGTTTGGGTATTGGGCCAGACTTGCTGGTTAAAACTCTTTTCAGGTTTAAACAGCTGTTCATTTACTGTACATGTCAAACTATCAGCTGGAAAGCTACCTCTTCTTCGCCCATCTAAAAAGCAGCTCTGAAGTTGCTTTGTAAAACTTCAGAAATCTTCAGAAAACTTCAGAAGTGTTAACTGGAAAGCCAGTCACTTTTTCAAAAGGACGAAGAGGAACCAGCACTAAAAATCCATAGAAACAGTCACAGCTCTGAATGCCCTTGCTTGTGCAGGCATAAAAACAACTTCTATAACTGCAAAGCAGCATTTATATTTTAGACACCTTCCAGCGCCACTGAGACACTTCAGTATTTTTCTGACACTTCTCAGAATTAGAAACCTCATTCTGCTTGTCCCCAGCCACACGTCCCGCTTTCCTCCCCCAGGATAAACACAGGGAGAAAGCCCCACGAACGAAGATGCTGTCCTTTAAATCTTGTCCTGAGCGAGGAAAAGCAGCCTGTGCAGAAGAGCCATGTCCTACATTCTTGCCCAGCCACTGTGTGATTTCTCAACAGAAATAACACAGTCAGTAAAACATCACACAAAATCTGGGTTTGTTTCTTGCCTTACAGTAATGTCACTGTACAAGTCCACGTCTGGACTGAGTCAGAACCCACCAGATTTACAAGTAACATCTGGGATTTCCAAAAATCAAAAGATTTTTGAAAATCTGCATTTTTCTCTTCAACTGGTTTATTTGGTGAGTTATGCAGCATAAAAATAGAATAATGATACCTTACAGCTATTTTAACTTGTTTCAAATTTGCTACTTTTCAAGTTGCTGGTCTAATTTTAAAACAGCAGTTACTTTAAAGATCCCCTGAAATAATACAAATTATTGAGAGCTTGTCCACTCGAGTTTCTACATAACTTTAGTTTGTCCCTGTCTACTTCTTAAATGTAACAAGTACATAACCTTTTTGAACTGGCATATTTCATCTCTTCTGCAGTCTTGGGACAGTTGCAATCTTTTCTCTGCAATTTACTTCCATTCCCTTTTACAGGTTTGAAAATCTTCAGCCATTCTGGATCTGATACGGGCTTCCACCTTGCATCTTTTTTAATAATGAAGTTACTACTAAATGACTCAGATTCAGATGTGTGAATTGCAACAGAGGTCTCTTTGCTTTTTTGACCAAATACAATTCCAGTTCTCTCTTCCCAGATTTTATTTTCATTATCAGCTTTGTCAGATGTGGCGTTCTGGATCAAGGTATTTTGCGAATCTACACAAGAATTGATGTTAAGCCAATATTCAGGTGAAGATGACTCAAAAGTTTGCTGGTCTCTGCTTTCCACTTCATTCTCGGAGATTTCCCTGTTTCTCAACAGCCTCGTGTTGTTTGCCTCATAAAATAGCTTGCTGTCTAGCTCATCAGAGCTTGATGCAACATCCTGCTTTTCTTCTTCTTCCACTGCCAAGCCTTTCACAACTTTTTGACACCGATTTAAGCGTGCTGATGTAGTTTTCTCCAAGCCTGATGCATCCAGTAACAGTCTATTATCAACTTCACACATCTCAGAGGTGTTTTCTACCCTGCTTTTCGGAACTTGTGCAGTTCCATGATCCTCGCATACCCTGTGGGTACCGTCAGTCCTAACCGACTCTGTTTGGATGTTACTTTCAGGAGCAGGGAACACCGTACCTATGCTACAGTGGTGTGAAAAAGAAATAATCAGAAATACTGTATTTAAAGAGCATATGTAACTAGTCTGGATAAAGCTATACATTAACTAGAGGCTGTAGCCATGGTTCTACAGTGGCTTATATACTAACAAGCAGCTGCATCCTGCCCAAACCCAACAGAAGTCTGCCCCTATTTAACCATGTTACTTTGTAAAAAGAGTCTGAGAGTTCCCTCATGTTTTACCCAACTGATAATTTTGTTTGAACTTTCAGGGTGTGCACCAATTTCCTAATCTGAAAGCAAACTGAATTTTGTTTTTCAAATGTGGAATAGCGGGCCAGATTAACAGCCATACCACCAGAATATTCCAGTTTTTAAAAGAGATTAAGAACTGTCTGACCTCCATACAATATTTCATTTCTGAGACTGATTCTTATGTTGTCCTGACCACGTAAAACAGCTATCTGACAACTGCACTGGATATCTGGTCAAGTCCAGCAAAGCCATCTTGACACAACACACATCTATTTCAGAATGCCAACTGTGTCTCAACAGTGAAGTCTCCTGGAGAGTAAATTAGTATATATAAAAAAATAATAAAAAAATAATTAAAAAAAAGAGTTCTGTACCTCCTTTCATACGCCACCTTTTCATGCTTTTGCCGTAATTCCTGAGAGTTCTCCAAGTTGACATGAAGAAACTGCAAGTCACGCTGCTGTTTTACATAGATCTGCTTAAAGATAGCAAGGCACATTAATGAAGTTCTGGAATGCAAGAACGCTGCTGTCAGGCACTAACACACTGCTGGTATTCCAAATAGATCCTCAAAATATTTTTATAAGCTTTTTTTTTTTTAATGTATGTGCAGGTTTTTTTATTGTTATTTTGTGCGTTTGTTTTTAAACAAACCATTTTTACATATCTGTAGTCAATTTATTGTCAAAGCCATCCAAATCTAAGGGACTCTCTCTCCATGTATTTACAAAAACATTTTTCTGAAATAAACAGTATTTTTATTACAGGACTGGAGTGGTCTTCTGTAACTAAACCACAATGAACCAAAAATAAAATATCATTACTGCTATTCAGTACTCTGCACAAGTTGTTATTATGTTGTTCAAAGCAAAATTACAGGACAAGGAATGATGACTGCAGTTTTGGTTTTCACTGAACGGAATGTTTTGTATAGCTAACCTGAAAGATAACACACTGATCAATTATTTGCAATAAAAGAATATTGAACGTGCCTTGGAAACATCAAATAAGTGCAGGTGAACACACTGGGTTTAAGTCTCCCTTGAAGCAAGCTCTTTTGGTACACCCTGCCCTTTATGCTGCAGGAGTTCACCTTGGGCACACGTGAGCCAGCACACCCAACTCCCACTGCCTTTCAGATGACTTCGGAGCATAGCACCTTCTGGTTATACACACACTGATGAACTGTTACCTCACCAGGGTGCTGCGGGGATGTTTACTCATTGCAGAACTAAGTAGATACAACTACACAATAGAGGCCAAAAGCCCGTGTAAATACAAGGATTTGTATCAAGGATTTTTAATTTAAACAAAAAAAAAATATCAACATTTGGCAGTGTCTCAACAAGGCAGCAACAGCAAATGTGATTTTTTTTTTCTTTCTTATTTAAGAACAGACAGTTTTAACTTTCACACTGTTCTATGCAAATCTGATGTTACTGAAAAACGTCTTTATAATCTCAGAATAGAAGCACAACTGGGGTCATACCTGTCGCAAACTTGATAGCTCCGTGTCAGTCCGTACTTGTTTAGACTTGGCAAACTGAAGAAGTTGATCCTTTCTCTTTGCTTTCTCAACTGTTTCAAAACATGTTATATAGTTTTCAAGTTACTTACTTTAAGTGAATAGACACAAATCAAGTACATTTGTTTATGCATGTCTGTAGCAGTAGAAACAAGTACCTAAACAAAATAAAAGCACTTTCTTAAGATCAACGGGATCTCTTTTCCCTCTGAACAAAAACACAGTAAGTTGTCTCACAGATTTATTAGGTATTTTCTTCGGGCTTTTCACCTAAACCAGCATCTAGTTTTACTAGTAGCAATATTCAACTTCATTGATTGATACATTTTACTTTTCCATGTTTACATTCTTTCATGGAAAAGAAGCTTAGTACTTAATTCTAAAACATGGCTTGTACAGGTAAGTGCTGGGAAATACCGAGTACCAAAGTACCAAACTGAATTTGTGAACATATTGCTGCTTCAACAGCAACACCTGCTTGCTGCCCACAGGAGGGAGTGAACACGCTAGTAATTTCACAGGGCCTAAGCTCTAGACTTTGCATGTTGCATCTTTTCAGTATATCACCAACTTCTATGCAGCCTAACTCAGAAGGAAGAACACCACCCCCATTTATTGTATTAATACCACAAGAGACATAAAAGTCTCAAAAATTCTCAAGAGAGAATCCTCTGAACCATTTACTCCTCCACACATCGTCACATTGGTGAACTTTGTGCTTTTACAAGGTTTTATAAACTGTCCCTGCAGAAGTCCTAGGTACTGCTTTCACAGAATAACACAGAAGGGCATCTACCTTTATTAAATGTCAAGAAAGCTGCCTCCCTCAGATTCCAGTGAACTGCTGTCATCTAGAAGGTTCTGATCTGTTGAAAGTCAAGGCTTGAAAAGCCAACTGCCTGCACTTACCATTAAGTGCAAGTTCATTCTTCAAGACGACATTTTCTTGTTTGAGGTGAATGATTTCTTCCTGCTGCTTATTATTTTCTTTCATCTTTTCACAGAGGTCATCTTTAAAACAAAACATAGTATTTCCCAGCATGAAAAGAAATCACACTGGTCCATACTTAATGAGGTGCCTGGTATAAACATTTACCTTTCAGCTTATCTGTTTCAAGTATTAGTTCTCTCAGTCTCAGTCTGAGGTCCTGCTTTTCTTTGTTGAGACTGAATTCTTCTGCCTTTGCTGCACGCAGTGCACTCTCCAGCTTTAATTTAGATGTAAACTCAGCAATGTAATCAGTTGTTTCAAGTACAGCCTCTCCCTGAAATATGAAACAGAACATATTCCTGATTATTGTTTTACCTTCACATATGGATCTCAACAAAACAACAGTACGCCTTACTGCAGTAAGTGTAGCTACTTCACAAATTTCCTTCTGGGTTTTTGAGGGGAAAAAAGAATCAAAGCCAGGAAACATGCCTTTTTATGAAAATAAACCAGTTTATTGTTTGTTGACCACTTTTTCCTTCTCAGTCAAGCCAAAAAATTAAACAGATGTGAAAACAACACAGACTAAAACACTGCGTCAGTCACCAATAAATGCACTGCATTTTGATCACAGTTAGTGCCTGATGAGATGACAGATGTTACCTTCAGCTCAAGCTTTTTAAGAAGCTCCTGTTCTCTAGCTTGCAGCTGACCTTTCTTAGCAGACAGTTCCAAAACGGAGCAGCGGAGAATTTGATTTTCCTCCTAGTGAACAGAAATAACGATGTCAATTTTTACTTCACTAATTCAAAGTTACAGTTTTGCCAGCAAATGTATGGACAACTTTATTTAAAAATCACGAATGGCAACAGAGGATTTGGACAAAAGAAGGCTGAAATAGAAATTGTTCCCCAGTTCTTGTACATCTAAACTTGCTTGTCATCAAGGGCCTTAACAGCCTGCATGCCTTAAAACTATTAGATAGATGAAAACACAGAATACTGCTTTACCGTATTGGACACGGGGAAAGATTATTGTAATAAACACATCATTGCTAAGTCATTTGAAAAAAAATAATTCATATCCTTAAACCAGTTACAGAATATTAACAGTTCTTAATAGTAACCAGTAGCGTAAGTAAGACTTTCTGGAACTTCCCAGTGAAGTACCAGTACAGTTTTGGGGGTTAACACGAAGTCATGGTGCTGGAGATTTTTGGAAGCAAGTTGGTTCTGAACAATGTTCTCCAAAACTAAGTAAGCAAACATCAAATTCCAAATCCTATCCTAGAAAAGCTTTTTTTTTTCTTCCCTCCACATGATTCAGATCGACACCTTGATCTAAGATTACTGTACTAAAAGACATACAACTCAAGAGCCTGATAATCTGAAATATTCATTCACCAGTGAAATTCACAAGTGTCACTGGCATTCCACATGTTTGGACTGCAAAATCAGACCATTATTCAACTCCTACCTCCAGACCCTGACAGTGAAGAGTCACATCTATTAGTTTCTGAGACAGCTCTTTAAACTTCTGTTGTGTAATTTCACATATTGCCTTACTGTCACTCTGCTGAGATTCTAAGAGCTTTAACTTTTTGGTTAATGATTTTATAATGTCATTTCTCTTGTTCAGTTCATCTAAAAAAAAAAAAAAAAGAGAAGGTAATTGTGAGAAACCACGCTAGATACTTCTGAGATTTTAATTACTGGACAGTGATTTTATACTAATGTATGGACAGTAATTTAATCCTGGGTCCATGAATTAAATGAGTGTTCAATTAAAATCACATAATTCAGAAATGAATGTTCACTTTGTGCACTCCAAATGAGGATTCCTGTTACCCAGGTCAGACAGAACACAAACTCCATGGTGACTTCTGTGGTACAGCTGTCAAACAAGGCTGTTTGGAGCCACCAGGTGATTTATACAGGTGCCTCATGGATGATATCAAAGCTCTGCAGCAGAACCTCAGGCCACAGGGCTCTGCAGACCACCGGCATGCTTGCAAGTTGTTCTCTCTCCATAGTTACTTCATGAGTCCACAGAAGCAATTTACAAATTCAAATGAACGTCCTACATGATCAGTCCATTTTAGAACCACTGTAGAAGTTTTGATCTCAGAAAGAAGACAACTAAATGTAAGGCTGAAGTGTAGGAAATGGTTCCTTACATGATTCAACGCTGTCAGTCAGGGCTCAAAGCATCCAAACTTACTGAAAGACCGGGATTCTATTCTTTATAGACAATGCTTACTGTTTAGCAAGGTGCATCGTTCTGCCAGAGTCAGTATTTTTTGCCGATCATCTTCCCAGGCGAGGCGCTCCCTCTGATGCACAGCAACCATGGCATTCAGCTCCTCCTCTCGATCCTTCAGTTCTGCGATTAAAACCTGGAGCTCTCGCCTCTGCTTCTCAATGGTGCTGCTCTCAAAGCTCGGGCTGAATTTCTAGGAAACACAACACGGCGAACACACTTCAGCACGAAGAACAAGCGTCCCAGTTTCCTGATAACAAACTCCGGGTCGGTTTAAATGGAAATCTTTGTATGTTAGGCACAGAGACCGCCCCTAAACGCTGCCTGCGGCTGTGGTGCCACCTGTGGGCTTTGCCCGAAGCCGTCAGCAGCACACTGAGCGCTTCACGTTTCCAGCAGCCCCCCTGCCCAGGGCCCCGGTTCTTGT